GGAGCTGTCCCCGCTGGTTTCCTCGGCGGCTGGCCACTAAAGTGCATTTCCTCCTGCCGCGGGTCCTTGGGCTGAGTCCTCTTAACTATTAATGTCGCCATGATTTTTTTTTTTTTAAGCAATAGTATACTGAAGAACAGCTTACTTGGGACGATGTTTTTAAAACTCAGCCAAGTCGAAGCATGGCACTGGTGTCCAGCATCTATCTGACCCCACCGCAGTATTACTTTAAGGCTACACAATGACTATTGATATCGCTCTTCAAAGAGCTCTCAGTTACTTCTGTTTCAACTGATTTTCAAAACCTGTTGGAAAGAGGCTCTGTTCCTAAATTGCATTTTCTTTTAAGAAGGGTTTTCCCATTTTCGTGAAATATTAATCTGTCAAATAATACATAAATGTGACAATTTAATATTTTAACGTGATTGATAGTGATTTAGTAATTGATTTGACATAATACTGACTACCTATCACACCCCTAGCACACCCCAGACATGGTTCATAGGTAATATAATATGTATTTAGGATTACTTGCCAGGCACTGTGTTGGTCACTGTAAATGTACAGTCTCATTTTTAGTCCTCTATAATCCTCTGAGGGGGTCATGATATTAGGGGGTCAGATTAGGAAACTGAGGCACAAGGAGGTTAAGTAACTGGCTCCTGATCACACAACCAGCAAGTGTTAGACTCGGAGTTCAGCCCAGATAGTCAGAGACATCCTACTTCCTTTGCCTTTCTGCTTTACTAAAATTTATAATCTTGCAAGAGAAAACCAATACATTCAAAACTACTAGAGGAAAATTGAGTACTTACCATGCCCTGCTGCATTTAGGGCCAGTACAAGTTGAGACAGATTATTTATCTTCTGTGATCCCCAAATCCAGTTGGTAGACATTTTTGGAACAACTGTTAATGAACTGATCTGCTGTCCATTCCTTTTCCAGTCCATTCTCCCTAAGGCCAAGTTACTCTTTTAAAAATAAAAGTGCATAACTTCATTTAAAACCTTCAGTGATTCCCCAGTACCTCCACCATAATGTAAGGGATTTAGACTGTCTGTCATTCAAGGCTCTTGCAGTATGTTCCCTGATTCCTCTTTCCAGTTTCATTGCTTTTGAAATCTCTGACTTATGATGCCCAAAAATTCACCCTAAAATCACCATGCATTTTTATTTTCACAGCTCTTTCCATCATTGCCAAAGGCTGTTCACTCTTTATGGAGTATCTTCCTCTTTCTCTCATGATTTCTAAGTAAGCCAGCCTCTTTGACATTTTCTAGGTCTCCTATCCAATCTAGAACAAAATAAAATGTTCCTTCTTTTCTGTTCTTGTTTTTTCATTCCTTTTTTTCCAGCCCTCAGCATATTACTGTCTGTCTGAAACTTATCTGTCTTGCCTATATTGAGAAGCTCCCTTATCATTTTCATCTCTGCTTAATGGCATGAGTAAATGCAATGAATAATAACTGCAATGGGTAATAACAGCATGGGCACAATGGAATAATAATCCTGCAAGTTATTAAGGGCTTTCTTAGGCAGTTAGGTTAGAAGAAGGAATAGGATTTGCATATTTAGGAGATCAGTATTTCAAATGCAAAATTCTGAAAACAGATATGAGATGCAGGAAAGCCTGGCACATATAGTCTTTGATTTAATTTGAGGGTGATGTTGTGGAATAGTAAATAAGGTTGAATACTTTGTGGTGTAGAAAGTGGGACACCAGTGTAAACATTTAATGGAGCTGACAGCGAAGGATTCACTGAGTTTTATTTTTGTTCAATTAACTTGCTTTCACACAACCTAGAAGTATTTATTTATTTATTTTTTAAAAGATTTTATTTATTTGTGCATACAGAACTGGGGTATAGGCCAGAGGCTCAGGGGCAGTGAGAGGCTTCACCAGAGACAGAGCAGGGAACAGAACAGGCAGATGGACGAAGTACACTGCTGAGGGGAGCAGGGGGCGGGTCAGGAGAGGTCTGCCTCGCCATGTGGATCTCCTCTGGGGCAGGCAGGGATCGAACTCATGCGGAAGAGGCTTTAGATTCTCAGTGCTGTGCTTTAACCCACTGCACCACCAGGGAGGGCCTAGAAGTATTCATTTTTTGTAATAATTTTGAAATTATAAAATAATATTTAAGAAATAATGTTTTTACATAAGTATAAAAATTTATTACTTCTATCAGTTTTTGCACAACCTTTCTTTTTATTTATCATGTTATTATTTTTCATATGTATTTCAAAC